CAAAAAAAAAAAAAAAATTTATTATATTTTTACATGGTGATGAATATATATGATAATTTTTCTGTCTAAATTAAATCGTGCTAATCGTTCTACATACATAATACGTATGTATATATTGAGTTGTCATATATATGTAAATTCAAAGTTTTTAGTTATATCATACGTATATATTATCATTTATTAGTTATAAAAAATCAAAATTTTTGATTGGTCAGCTAGCACATGATCTGCAAAGTGACCAATCATAGTATGATATTCAATTTGTGTGATCGACCAATCACGAGAAAGTTATCCTATATGATTAAAACCCAGAGTAATCTATATAAGAGTTTTATTTTTAACTATTTTTTGCAGATCTTTTCTATTTTAAATAAGACATGTATTTATTTTGTGCAGATATTTCTATTTTTAGTAATTTTTAAAACTTTTACCCTCTATAGATTGCTTAGGGTTCTGATAGATTTCTTAGAGTTCTGATATATTAGATAGAAACAGACAAATAAAATAGTATAATACTCTTTGAAATATTGTTTTCTAAATATATTTTAAATATTTCCAGCATTCTAATAATCTTGTAATATCTTTGTTGTCTTTAAAACAAATAAATAAATCCTTCTGCTAAAACATTCTAACCTTTCTTTATAAAACACCATAACAATATTATGAAAATAAAAAAAAAATAAAAGCTTGTAAACAAAAACTTTATATTCTATCCGAAGTATAATCGACAATTTTTCCGGGATATAATTTTTCCGGGTATTTTAAATAACCGCTGTTTAAAAAAGTAATTTTTTATTATATAAAATTCTGTAATTTGATTGGTTGCTTCCTTAAACTGCACCCTGGCGACGCATCGCCATGGCGATGAATAATAATTCTCAAATAAATAGATAAAACTTTATTTTTTTGCTAAAAAAAAAAAAAATTATTCTTTCTAATACTCTAAAATTTTTTGATCATAGAATACTATAAAAAACGCTTGGTTTATCCAGGCATAACCGCAGGTTTGTGAATGAATCTTAAGCAACTACTCATCTGTAATCGTTGGTTTATTTATAAGATCAATGTAGACCAAATTGACTATTTTTTCAAAAATCTTGTTTTTGAGCTTATTTAATCCAAAATTAACCCAGAAGCATTTTTTACTTATATAAGGAACAAATACATTTTCTTATAAAATTTATAATCTAAAAATCAACTTTACGCAAAACTTTTTTTAATTTGGTTTCTTTTCTCAGGACTAAGCTATATATTAAATAACTTACAATATTAGCTTTATAAAAAATTATACCAATTTGTTAAAAATAAATTTTGTTTTTTTTTTACACAAGATAAAATAATTATTTATTTATTTATTTATTTTTTGTTTTTACAAAATACTCTATTAACACTATTACAAAAAGTTTTATATAGTAGCATAGTATTTCTAAATAGTGAATCTAACTATGCATAAAAAAGCATCATTTGACACAATAACACCCCCATCACAAAAGTAAAAACCAAAACACTTTATATTAAGCAAAGACCTTTTTTTATATATATAAAATAATTTTTTTTTAATTGCTGTTTATTGGTGTTGTGGTACCATTAGTGTTTGTGTTAGTAGAACTACTATTACTATTGACAGTATTAACCTCACGAGGTAATGAGTTTATTTTGCCATTTGTAATCGCAGAATTAGAGTTCGGAGTTGAAGCTGTAGAGGTCGATGATAAAGGAATATTGGTTGATACGGGTGATGATCCATTATTGTCTGATGATGAAGCACTGTTGACAATGGTAGCGTTATTGGGAATTGTCGGAGTTCCAATCGTCAAATTTGCTACATTTGGTGTGGATATACCACTTCCTAGACCGTAAAGATAACCCCTTACATAATTTATCAATCGAACAAAATCCAGTGAAAAAATCAAAAGTTAGAGAATGTTATTAAACAAAAAAAAAAAAAAAATACATTATTGAAATGGATAATAAAAGTCAACGTACAAGTATTTTTGATCGTCAATCTTATCATCGAAAAATCTCTGACGCATCTTAAAGAATGTAGTCGCTGTCAAAAGACTATCACTACCAGCTTGATGTTGAGGACCAATTCGAGAAACCTAATTCAACCAACAAAAAATTGGATGACAAAATATGTTCGTAAAATGAATTAAGTAAAATACAAGATAACAAACCTGTAAATCATCAGCAATATCTTGCAAACCGCCCTTCAAATTCTTGATACTCTTCATGAGGTACTTTATGTCATATATACATGGAAAATACATTTTTAACTGATCAAAAAATTTCGATTCTTCGGCCGGCAGAGGAGAGCATGTGAGTACTTTTAATAAGTATCCAAAATCGTAGCCACTATAATCAATTTTTTTTATCACCACAAATTATTACCAATGAAAAAAACAACGAAAACGGTCGAATGGTAAAATTAAACCTCAAGGGAAAAAAAAAAAAGAAAAAAAATACATTGTATTTCAAAGCTTTTTAGGCTAGAATAAAGTACATTTATTGAAGCTCACCTATGAAAGGATATCCACTTGACATCATCCAGCAATACGAATCCTGAACTGATCAACAATTCACCAAACTGTTCTACGTCTATGCCGTAATCTTCATGCCTTTTGAAATCGATGCCAGACTTTGTCAATAAATCAATGGAATCTTGAGCATACATGTCATCTCTAGTGCATTAAATTATGAAAATGAAAATGCGAATTAATACTTTTCTTAAACAAAAAAAAATATATAAACATATTTCAACGTCAAAAACACTTACGCCAAATTAAATCTAAAATTAAACTGCCATGTACAAGTATCCTGCGGTAAACAGCCGTTCTCATCTGCAAATGTAATCCCTAACTGGATAATTTTTAACAAATCAACATTGCATCTGAGTGTTTGGTAATGGTAATCTGAGCTTGTCCGAAAGTTGCCAATCGGTCTGGCCACCACTCCTGGAAATTCCGTATCCTAATGGGCAAAAATTCAAAGTTTCAACCCAACCGATTTATTGCGCGTTCGCTTTGAACAAGTATACAAGATGAGATCGCGTGGGGTTAACCACACGAAAAATTAAATAGAATAGTTAAAATGCGTGAAAAACCTTGTACCATCGCAAGGTAAGGGTACTGTTCCACTAGATCACGAAGAACAGCCATTTCCTCCTCTAGATTCTCGGCCCATACTTCTTTTATATACTTGCTTTCATTACTAGCTGGCATTGTTTGTAATCGTAAACAGGTATTTTTGAAGTGGAATAGAGACAGGGCTAAAACGACATATAGTAAATGCTGACCATTCATTAAGTATCGTTCTTGATTCACATTATGTTAAAATATTATTGGCTAAAAAACCAATTTAATGCAACATTACATGCATATTATCAGTCACACGATTTGTCGCGCAGATCGTGTATATAACAGTCGCAGACATGTTCTTATACAGAGGTTCTTATTTTTAATCAAATAAGTTAATGTACTAAATTTTATATATAAATTTATAAAATTTATACAAAAAAAATTATTATATTTTTTAAACAAAAGATTATTTTATATACAGTAGTATAGACCAAAATTAATTAAAAACTTGTAAAAAAAAAATTATATTTTAATAACCAAATAAATTTTTTAAAAAAATTGTTTTTTTTAGAAAAATATTAAATAGTATATTCATGTATTTGGTGCATTCTTCTTTTAGATAAATTAAATAAGTATAACAGTTACAGGACATGTTTTAATAGTTGCTGTTACTTATAAGTCAAATGAAGTAATATAGGGTGTTATCTATTAAAACAGCCCTTTTTTACATATATTTTATTTTGAGATAATTGAGTTTAAGGGTAGAGTATACGTAGATCATTTATCATATGATCTGCATGGCAAATTTTTTTTGTATAACAAATTACATAGTAAACACAAATCTAA